CCTGCCTCAGCCTCCTGAGTAGCTGGGATTACAGGCACGCACCACCATGCCCAGCTAATTTTTTTTGTATTTTTAGTAGAGACGGGGTTTCACCATGTTGACCAGGATGGTCTCGATCTCTTGACCTCGTGATCCACCCGCCTCAGCCTCCCAAAGTGCTGGGATTACAGGCTTGAGCCACCGCGCCCGGCTACATTTTTGCTATTCTAATGGGTAAGAAATGGTATCTTAGTGTGGTTTTAGTTTGCATTTCTCTTATTGTAAGAACAGCTGAGCATTTTTTCACCTGTTCACAGACCAACTTATGTCTTTTGCAACTTGGCTCTTTCTTTTATCTATCTTTCTCTAGAATTTGGGTCTTTTCTTTCTCAATTTTTAAAAGGTCTTTGTACGTTAGAAGTATCATTTGTATTTATGATATTTGTGGCAAATACTTTCTTTCAATTTAATACCATCTTTTGACTGGTTGCAACGTGTATATGCTTTTTCTCTTGTACTAATACCAACTGCTTTAATTATATGGGCTTTAAAATACGACATAATAATCTAGTAGGCCCAGTTCTCCCTCAGAGCTCCTTTTTCTCAGCGTAGCCCAGCTATTTTATTTTTTAAAAAAAAGAGTCAGGCTGGGCACAGTGGCTCATGTCTGTAATCCCAGCACTTTGGGAATCCAAGACTGGCGGGCAGATCACCTGAGGTCAGGAGTTTGAGACCAGCCTGATCAACATGCAGAAAACCCCTCTCTACTAAAAATACAAAATTAGCCAGGCTTGCTGGCGCATGCCTGTAGTCCCAGCTACTCAGGAGGCTGAGGCACGAGAATCGCTTGAACCTGGGAGGCAGAGGTTGCGGTGAGCTGAGATAGGGCCATTGCATTCTAGCCTGGGCAACAAGAGTGAAACTCCGTCTCAAGGAAAAAACAAAACAACAAAAACAAAAACAAAAAGAGTCTTGCTCCGTTGCCCAGGCTGGAGTGCAGTGCTGCAATCATAGCTCACTGCAGGCTCAACCTCTTGGGCTCAAGTGATCTATCCCAGTTTTTTTTTTTTTTTTTTTTTTTGAGACTGAGTCTTGTTCTGTCACCCAGGCTGGAGTGCAATGGCGTGATCTGGGATCACTACAACCTCTGCCTCCTGGGTTCAAGTGATTCTCCTGCCTCAGCCTCCGAAGTTGCTGGGACTACAGGCATGTGCCACCACATCCGGCTAATTTTTGCATTTTTAGTAGAGATGAGGTTTTGCCACGTTGGCCAGGCTAGTCTCAAACTCCTGACCTCAGGAGATCCACCTGCCTCAGCCTCCCAAAATGCTGGGATTACAGGCATGAGCCACCACGCCCAGCCTATCCCAGCTATTATTATGTGCTTATTTTTTCTAACTTAAGTGGACTATCAATTTGTCTAGATCCGGAAAAAAAGCTTGTTGGTATTGTTATTGAAATTCTAAGGGTAGGAAGGGGGATAAGGGATGAGAAACTACTTAAAACACTACATGGGTGATGGTTACACTGAAAGCCCAGACTTCACTATACAATATATCCATGTAACAGGAAAAAAAGAAAGAAACTGCATTTATGAATTTGAAGGGCAACTTGCTTTCACGATGTCTTATCAAAGAATAAGTGATACCTATTTGTTCAAGTTTATTTTGTGTCGTTCAGGAATGTTTGAATATTTTTTAATTTTCTCCACATAGATTTTTGTTCATTTCTTATAGATTTATTCCCAGGTAGTTTATTACTTTTGGCTTTTTTGCAAGTGGAAACTGCATTTTCTCTTCTGTCTTCTAATAGCTGTTATCTGGCATATGAAGGCTGCTGATTTCTCTATATTAACTTCTTTCCCCAATTTTTTTTTTTTTTTGCTTCAATTAGCTTTATTTCCATTTGGTTCTTTTACCAACTTTTATGCCTGTAATTCTTTTATCTAACTGAACTGGTTACAACCTGTGATGCAGTGTTAAATAGAGATAAATGATACTGGGCATCTTGACTGTTTCTGACCTCAATGAGAGTGCCTCCAGTATTACCCCATTAATTAGTATTTAGCTTGCTTTTCCAGTGACTTCCAACACAAGCACTTTTTGAAGTGCTCATGGAGACCCTCTTCCCTTACCGAGTACATGACTTGTCTTTCTCCATCTTTCTTATCATCCACCTTCAGTTTCATGCTATTTGTTTAAAAAATGTTTTTTTTTTTTTTTTTTTTTGAGATGGAGTTTCGCTCTTGTTACCCAGGCTGGAGTGCAACGGTGTGATCTCGGCTCACCGCAACCTCCGCCTCCTGGGTTCAGGCAATTCTCCTGCCTCAGCCTTCTGAGTAGCTGGGATTACAGGCACGCGTCACCATGCCCAGCTAATTTTTTGTAGTTTTAGTAGAGACGGGGTTTCACTGTGTTGACCAGGATGGTCTCGATCTCTTGACCTCGTGATCCACCCGCCTCGGCCTCCCAAAGTGCTGGGATTACAGGCATAAGCCACCGCGCCCAGCCTTAAAAAATATTCTTAAAAAAAAAAAAAGAAAAAACAAAAAAAAGCTTTAGCCTGGCATGGTGGCTCACCCTATAATACCAGCACTTTCAGAGGTTGAGGCAGGTGGATCACCTGAGGTCAGGAGTTTGAGACCACCCTGGCCAACAGGGTGAAGCCGAATCTCTACTAATATAAAAATTAGCCGGGTGTGGTGGTGCGTGCCTGTAATCCCAGATACTCAGGAGACTGAGGCAGGAGAATCACTTGAACTTGGGAGGGGGAAGATGCAGTGAGCCGAGATCCTGCCACTGCACGACTCTGCCTGGGCAACAGAATGAGGCCTTGTCTCAAAAAAAAAAAAAAACCACCAAAGTTTTAAAGCCTTAATTATGATGCTTGCTTCAGCAGCAGATATCCTCAAATGGGAACCAGGCAGAGAAGACTAATGGCTCCTGCATGAGGGTAACACACAAATTTATGAATTGTTTTCTACTTTTAATGTTCACAGCAGCAGTATTCATAATAGCCAAAAGGTGCAAACAACCAAAATGCCCATCGACTGATGAATAAACAAAACATAGTATATATCCATAAATGGACTATTATTCAGCTATAACAAGAAATAAAATACTGAAACATATTACAGTATGAATGAACCTTTAAAGAAGTATGTGAAGTGAAAGGAAAAGGCCACATATTGCATGATTTCAATCATTTCTAATATATAGAACAGACAAATCCACAGAGCCAGGAGTTAGGGATAGAAGGAAATGAGGAGTGATTGCCTAATAGCGTGGGGTTTCCTTTTGGGTGGTAAAAGCATTTTGGATCCAGATGGTGGATAATTGTACAACTTTACTAAATGCTACTTTTGTGCCAGATTTTACACTGTAAAATGGTGAAATTTAGGTTACATATATTTTAAAATAAAAAAAAACAAAGAAGCCTGGATGTGGTGGCTGATGCCTGTAATCCCAGCACTTTGGGAGGCTGAGGCGGGTGGACTGCTTGAGCCCAGGAGTTTAAGACCAGGCAACATGGCAAAACTAGAACTCTGCAAAAATTACAAAAATTAGCCAGGCATGGTGGTGGACACCTGTAGTCCCAGTTACTCGGGAGGCTGAGGTGGGAGGATCATAAGCCTGGGAGGTTGAGGCTGCGGTGAGCCATGATCATGTCACTGCACTCCACTCTGGGTTTCAGAGTGAGACCCTGTCTCAAACAGCAACAATAAAAGCTAAGAAAAAAACCCTCAAATCCATCTTGCAAAACCCAATCCTGGATGAGACTATCTGCTTTCTCAGTGCCTGTGCCACAGCAGTCAAGATTTAAGAATGCAAAGCTAATAAGAAAGTTACACAACAGGACAGAATGGTTACACTATAAATAGATGTTCACGGACCAAACACTCCTCCTGGTTCTCGCTGGCCAAGTGACTTTCCCATACTCCGAAACGGTAACTTCTTCCCATGCAATAGAAGACCCTGTGAAACTAATTCCTGGCACATAGACTTTAGTTCTCATTTCCACCTGCCTTCTCAGGAACCACGCATTGTTCATCAGTGTATCGTTGCTGGCGACTTCAGTGTTCCCTCTCTCTTACCTGGAAACCTTACAACATAGACTCCTTTCCCACTCCAGATAAAACTCCATCATCCCGCCTCATCTCTAGGTATTTTATTACACCCTCTTCTCCTCAGTCATCTACTTGTGCAGTCTCCGGTGGTTGCGGTCCCTGCTCAACTCCCTCGAATATGGCTCCTGCCCCAATTATTCCATTGTGGCAGTTCTACATAAGGTCTACATAATAATGGCCATGCTATTAAATCAAATTTGCATCAGCTTTGCAATTCATAGTAATGCAATTTCACCTCAATTGCATTACTATGCTGTCCACTCCCTCCTTCCTGAAACAGACCTGGTCACATACTACCTCCCTGGCCAACTGTCCTCTTTGCAAATTCTTCATTTTCTCCCTGTCAAATACTGATGTTCATTACAGTTCAAGCTGTCTTTTATTATTCTAAACCACGGGTTGGTAATCTTTCTTAAAGGCCAAGCCGTAAATATTTTAGACTATGTGGGCCATATAATCTCTGTTACAACTCAACGCTGCTAGTGCAGCAGAAAAGCAGTGATAGATAATACGTAACAAACAAATGAGCACTGCTGAGTTCCAGTAAAAACTTATGAGTACTAAATTTAAATTTAATATAATTTCACATGTAATAAATACATTTGGCTGGGCGCAGTGGCTCACACTTGTAATCCCAGCACATTGGGAGGCCGAGGCAGGTGGATCACTTGAGGTCAAGAGTTCAAGACCAGCCTGGGTAACATGGTGAAACCCCATCTATAATAAAAATATGAAAATTAGCTGGGCGTGGTGAAGGGCACCTGTAATCCCAGCTACCCAGAGGCTGAGGCAGGAGAATTGCTTGAGCCCGGGAGGCGGAGGTTGCAGTGAGCTGAGATCGTGTCACTGTGCTCCCTCCTGGGAGACAGAGTGAGACTTCATCTCAAAAAAAGAAAAAGAAAAAGAGAAAGAAATACATTTCTCTGATTTTTCCCATTTAACGATGTAAAAACCATACTTATTGCCCAGGATATACAAACACAGGTGATAGGCCAGGTGCGGTCGCTCAAGCCTATAATCCCAGCACTTTGGGAGGCCGAGACGGGTGGATCACGAGGTCAAGAGATCGAGACCATCCTGGTCAACATGGTGAAACCCCGTCTCTACTAAAAAAAAAATACAAAAATTAGCTGGGCATGGTGGCGCACGCCTGTAGTCCCAGCTACTCGGGAGGCTGGGGCAGGAGAATTGCTTAAACCCAGGAGACGGAGGTTGTGGTGAGCCGAGATCGCGCCATTGAACTCCATCCTGGGTAACAAGAGGGAAACTCCGTCTCAAAAAAAAAAAACCCACAGGTGATGGACCATAATCTGCTGACCCTTGCTTTATGCCATCATCAATTTTTTTTTTTTTTGCCCCACATGTAGAGCATTTGTTTGTAGGGAGGCCACAAGCTTCATGCCTCTCATCACAATGACTCCAGGTTCCTGTTGGGTGTGTTATAAACAGAGGAGCCATTCTTCAGGCCCCCTGCTCTGAGCACACCTCGCCATCATAAAATTTTAATGGCTTTTATCAATACCTATAAAAACTGTCCAATCGCCACACTAAAATATAACGCAGGAAAGTTTATTCAGCTCTTAATCCCAGGGCCTAGAATGGTGCCTGATACAGAGCAAATAATATGCACGGAACGAGCAAACACAGACAAGCATTGGCTCATTCGCTGTGGCTTTGCTGGAGTCTGTGCAGCTTCATCACCAGCTCTCCAGGGTTAGACCACAGGACCTCTCAGCGAACATAACCACTCCTGCTCAGGTGCTCACTGTTTTGGGGCATAGTCATATGTTAAAACTACAAGATACTGGAGTGAAGACAGTGTTTGAATGGCATGTGGTCTATGCCCCTCGTTATTAACACATGAGGTCACTGAGGCCCAAAAAGGTAGAGAGCCTTGCCTGTGATCAGACCACTTGTCAGTGCTGAGCAGGCCCAAGCACCAGATCTTCTTTTTGCCATTCTCTTGAGACAATGCAATTGACTAATGCAAGCTGTGCCAACCAGAACTTCTAGTTTACATAGTTTCCTTCCACAGTGCACAATGCAGAGTGTGGCAAACTCTTGCTATTCCTGAGAGTTAACATGAAGACAGGGCATCCTGGATACTACTTGGCAAAGAAGAAGGGAGGCTACTTTCAGTGGACGCTGCTCTGGCAGAGCTCTGTAAGCCTTACCTGCAGGAGCTCCCTGGTGGGCTGCTGCTGCTTCTCTTCCAGCTGAGCGATGAGGCCACTGAGGTGGGAGATGTTGCAGGAGAACTGGGTGATGGCACCGTTGATGCTATTGTAGATGGCCAAGTCCAGCTCCTCAAGGCGGGCCAGGAGGCGATACTCATGCTCCTTTAAGGAGTGATACAGCTGCTCAAACTCCCAAACAATCTTCTCCCTTTCCATCTGGGTTAGGCTCTGTGCAGACGACAGGAAAAAGCAGTAAAGAGAAAAATGGCTCATTTCTAGGGCCTTCATATTTCTCCCCTGGCCACCTACCGCAAGACCTCATCATGGATGAAACAAGCAGTGTACCTGAATTGAACCTTAGAAAGACTGAAAACAAACAAACAAACAAAAGAAAGAAGCACAGTGCTAACTCATTCTTGCCTGTCTTTACTGACTGGATATATAATGGCAAGGAACTGAGTTACCCCAGTGACCATTAAGACAAAATCCCTATTCACAAGTAACTCAGAGAAGTGAGTCAGATTCATGTGATACACGTAGTCATGGTAAGGTGATTAAAGATAGGGTGACAGCCTGCAATGAAAGAAACTGGTACGGTCTTCATGGAAGCAATTTCAGTGCTTATGGGATGAACGAGAGTCCACCACACAGGCGACAAGCAGGAAGCCTTCCCAGGCCGAAGAAATGGCACAGGCAAAAGCATGGGGAGAGAAAGCAAACGGTGCTCTCTGGCTGGAGCACACGAGTGCCAAGGGAAAAGATCAGAAAAACTGAGACTTTGTCACACCTTGCTGGCAGCCTCTATTGCAACTGGGAGGCATGAAATACTGTCACACGGGAAACGGACAGGGTCAGATATGTGCCCTACGGAGGATGGGCAAGTGCAGCTTCCTCGCCCAATTTCCCTTCATATATAACCCATACCCTCTACCTGTCTTTCACAGGTGTTCACAAAACACTGTCTCTAGCTTCAGGTGGGAGAGAGGTGGTTTCCCCATGGTTTCCTCTTGGTGTTCATTTGTTTGCCATAACTTATTGTCTTTCTTTCTTCAGCCGCCCCCACCACCAGCAGGTCTCTATTAAAAAGTTTTGTTCTAAACAAGGAGCAAGCAACAAGCTCCAAAGAAATCAAGTGAGGTCGTACCAGACACAGCCATGCCCTGCATTTATGTACTGACAATGGCTGCTTTTGAGCTGAGCTACAACAGAGCTCATCAGCTGTGGGGGAGTCCATAAAGCCTACAAAGCCAGAAACATTCACTACCTGACCCTTTTTAGAAAAGTTGGCAACGTCTGTTCTAAACCCAGCTTCTCCCAAGGGCCTTCCCTCACTGACCATCCCTCTAGTCACCCGTATTAGACATGCACTATGTACACATCTTTGTTTATAAATCCTTTTCAAAAGTCACACTTCATGTGAGCTGGATAATTCTTTCAAAGACATAAACTATACAAAATAATCTTAAACAAAAAAGGCTGAAACAATCCTTAAATATCAACTAATTCAGTATTTCTCAAAGTGGGTGCTACTGGCACCTTGGCAGGACAATTCTGCCTGGCATGGGACTGTTTCTTGCATTGTAAGACACTTAGCATGCCTGCCCCAACCTCTCCAATTGCTCGAGTCTTCTGAAGACAGCCAAAGAAGGGCCGGGCGCGGAGGCTCACGCCTGTAATCCCAGCACTTTGGGAGGCCGAGGCGGGTGGATCACGAGGTCAAGAGATCAAGACCATCCTGGTCAACACGGTGAAACCCCGTCTCTACTAAAACTACAAAAAATTAGCTGGGCATGGTGGCGCGTGCCTGTAATCCCAGCTACTCAGGAGGCTGAGGCAGGAGAATTGCCTGAACCCAGGAGGCAGAGGTTGCGGTGAGCCGAGATCACACCATTGCACTCCAGCCTGGGTAACAAGAGCGAAACTCCGTCTCAAAAAAAAAAAAAAAGAAATACCTACACACCATTGCAGAGGACAGAAAGGCAGTACTAGCCTTATGAATCGAGTCCAACGTACTCATTTCACAGATGAGCAACTGAGGTCCAGAGAGGCTGTATGACTCCATCTTTGCAACTGAGCCTGGAAGCATGTCCAGGGGCCCAGATGCTCAGAGAAGGGCTTTTCTCCCCTTTGACAATCCTTCCACAGAGGATACCATCATGTGGACAATGACCTCAGTCCACTCAGGCTCACTGAGAAGATTTTCCATCCATCAGACCTATTTTCAAGGAGAACTGAAGTCTCAGTGCACTGTGTGGGCAGAGCAAGTGGTGGGATCTCAGTACTCCATGGGGATGAGTTCCTTGTCCAGAAGTTCTTTACTGCACCCTGCGAGGACTGACAAAAGGATGCTAGACTCTACTAGTCTGGGACTTTACTTTTCAGATAGAAATACCTCTACTCAATGGAGATCTGTCATGTTTTGTTTATTGTTCCAAAAACACTGTTAAACACCTAGGTGGTATTTAAAAATGTTATAATATAAAAATGCATTTTATAAATGTCTCTGTACTTTTTGTTGGTTTTTTCTTTTCAAAACAAAATTCCTGGCTGGGTGCAGTGGCTCACACCTATAAACCCACTTTGGGAGGCTGAGGCAGGTGGATCACTTCAGGTTAGGAGTTCAAGACCAGCCTGGTCAGCATGGTGAAACCCCATCTCTACTAGAAATACAAAAATTAGCTGGGTGTGTTGGCACATGCCTGTAGCCCCCGCTACCTGCGAGGCTGATGTGGGAGAATTGCTTGAACTGGGAAGCAGAGGTTGCAGTGAGCCAAAACCTTGCCATTGCATTGATGACAGTGTGAGGCCCTGTCTCAAAAAAAAAAAAAAAAAAAAGTAAAAAAAGAAAAGTCCTAAATACCTCTATCATGAATTAACACATCAGCCACTTGTCAAGGCCTTGAGACTGGAAGAAGAGAACAGAGTAAAAACTCCACAATTAAGGCACTGTTAAGGGGAATAACCCAGAGAGAAGCAACAGTGGGCCTTATACAAACCCTCTACACGCACTTGTCTGCAGAATGGTACCAAAGAAAGCTAACTGTACCCAATAATTTTATCTATCTCAGTTTTGCCAAGAATCAACCGTGGTCTATGCAGTTAGCAGGTTAAGCTTTATTGACAGGTCTGGTTTCCAAGGGTTCCAAACTAGGCTCCTCCATCCTTTCCCCAAAAGTAAGGGAATCTCTCAGTTCTCAGGGTGAGTTCCCCTTGCCATGTGTGGTTGATCCACCTCTACCTACAAGTTCTGGATGACTTGCTGGAGAAGGTTAAGGGAAGTAACATCAGCTCTACAGAAGAGGGGAGCACCAGCAGAAGCGACTATGAATTCCAACAACCCTTACCAAGAGTTCGGCTCGTGCCTGTTCCCCCTGGGCCCGACGTCTCTTCTTTAAATCTTTCACTCTTTTAAGATGGTCCAGCTGGTTCTGGATCTGCTCCTGAGAAAAGCAAAACAGATGGGCAGTTCAAAATTAAGTAGACCTTAGCATCAGCATGGTCATCCTTTTTTTTTTCCGAGATGGAGTTTCACCCTGTCATCCAGGCTGGAGTGCAGTGGCACAAATTTCAGCTCACTGCAACCTCCACCTCCGGGGTTCAAGCGATTCTCCTGCCTCAGCCTCCCAAGTAGCTGGGACTACAGGCATGTGCCACCACACCCAGCTAATATCTGTACTTTGAGTAGAGATGGTTTTCACCACGTTAGTCAGGCAAGTCTCAAATTCCCGACCTTGTAATCTGTCTGCCTCAGCCTCCCAAAGTGCTGGGATTACAGGCGTGAGCCAGCTCACCCAACAGCATGGTCATTCTTATCACAGATGGAGTCCACACACACGATGCCAAGTCCCTAGCTGGTGCTTGTCCTCAGGCCACAGTGCCACCCACAAGATTAAGACCCAGGGCACAGGGACCATCAAACCCCGCCTCTGGCACTTCGTGTCTATCTGAGCAGCCTGTCGCTTCGACCACTCAGCTACTGCGTCAGGACTATTTGTGTCTATCTTAAACAATGAGTCATCTACCTGTCCCCGGTCGGATATTGCATGACTTAGCGGAAATGTGACTGGAGCAGGAGGCTGGGAGTTGTGTGGAACTGGAGCTTTTCCTCACAGGCATACTGCGAAAGTGACTTATTTTCCTCATGTGTGACATGGGCAAACACCATCTTCCCATCCTGCTCCAGACGTATTACCAGTGAGTGGAATAATATAGCTGAAAGGTCCATTAATGTTAAGTGATTACACATGAATGTACTCACATTTAAA